CCCCAAAACCCCAAAACCCCAAAGAATTAAATATTTAGAAAAATAGTTATAGAATAAATTAAATATATAAACTTTAATGAACGAAGAAGTCATTGACGATTAACACAGATAGTAGCTTCAGGCTTAACTTTTGAATAGCAATTCCTAGTAAAATAATTAGGATTACGGCGCTTTAAATGAAGATCCTGCAGAAGAAATCAGTGAGGATGCTCGTTCGCAGATTGGGGAGTCTGTGCTGTTCGGAGACTTGTAAAATCAAAATCTCTAAGAATAAATGCGTGATATTCAGAAGCAATTCAGGCATCGAATAGTAGCCTTTTCGTCTTTTCTGCTTTTCCTAATCTCAATGACTCTCTTAGTTAACAAGGTGGGAATCAACAGCCCTAAGCCAGACTTCTCAGGAGATGATAGTTTATGTGGGATTGAGATCAATGTATGGTTTGTTAATTACACTACTATTGTTGCCACTAAGTTACTATTGACGATTGGCAGGTATTACACCTATAAGAAACATAGGCAGGAACATCTCGGACTCTTCTTCATTGACTTAATTGCTATGAATTTATTAATGACTGGCATTTTTATTGATGCTAATCTGATGTACTTTTCTGATAAAAATATGTGCTGGTATTCTAATGATCAACTTACCAGAACATTTTACTTCTTATTCTGTACATTGACTTCATTAGGCTATTTATAATTCATTTGGTGTATTTTGCTGACTTGTTTTATTCCATTAAGTGGCTTCTTAATCCATTAAATTGTTGAGCAAAGATTGAACTAAGGTTAGTAAAACTAAGAAGGCAATATCTTAGCCGAAGGGTTAATTGGAGGCTTGATGTAAGTTCCACTACCAATTCCAGAAATATTAAGTTCCCTTAACAGGACCAAATTTAATCAGACTAAATTTGGTAATTTGCAAACTTAGTGTGCAATCTGCTGGGTTGACTTCTCTAAAAACGAGGTTGTCACACCCTTAATTTGCGATGAAAGGCATCTCTATCATACTACTTGTATTGAGGCTTGGATCAGGAAGGGCAATAATACCTGTCCTCTGTGTAGAAAGTAGATTGCTAACTTAAATGGTGTTTGATTTTATAAACGTTAACAAATTAAAAGTAAATTATTCATATCTCTCAATTAAACTGATTCCAATAATTAAATGATAATTTCTAATATTCATTCTTTCCAAGCAAACAAGTAGCTCAATCATCCTTGTTTTTTTCTTTGAATTCTTGGTATCTGTGGTATTTATCAATCCAATAAGACATTCCACTCAAGAATCTAAAATCATTTTAAATCTTAGTTTATTACATTTAAGCCAGTAGTGTACTGAGTCCAAGGTATAAATCTCTTTCATTTTTATGCTAGTTCTTTTGCCATTCCAAAAACTATGTGTCTCCTTTGTTGGATCCTACTGGAGGCTCAATATTCATTTTGTAAGATTGATAAGTATCTATAGATTTGCTTAACATATGAGAACTTTCAAAGTTTAAATTAGCATACCTTTGAAGAAAATTGCTAGTAGAATTCCTGCCATTGTGAATAGACCTGCGATTACTCCTTTCTTGGCAAAAAATGCTGATACTTCTCTTGTTCTGAAGACCAAAGTTATGAGAATGCATATCAAAAATACTAAGTAATAGTATATTATCCTTTGGACAGTCATTCCTGTTACCTAATCTTAAACTTATTCCATTAATTTTATCAAATAATAATTAAGGAAAAAATAGCATTAATTAACTTATAAATTGTTAAATAATGTGTAAAAATATTATCAGTTAATGCTTAATAAATATCAAAACTCTTTCAACTCATTATCATAATCCTAGATGCAAAAATTTTTCTCTCCAAGTCTCTCATTCTCATACATACTTGTAGCTTTCATTCTAATTAGGAATAAGATAAGCTGGAACATCTGCAATGGTGCTCTTTAGCTTGTAAGCGCCAGGTCCTGGAACTGGTGCCTACTCTTTAAAGTGTGGTCTTTGGGAACTTGATCCAAAGCCATACTTAGGAGACACATTGAAACTAGTTAGGCTGTCTTGGTTTAAGTACTGACCTGGCCCAGGAACATTATTCTTTTTCTCTGGACTAATTCTTTATGCTCTTCCAACAGTATAGTTACCTGTTCTTTTCTGTATTGTGTCAAACCTAGGATTATAGTTATCAGGACTGGGAAGGATGAGAGCTCTCTTTGATTCAAGTTTCTGTCCAATGAAATACTTGGGTCCCTCGCCTAACTTGGTAGGAGTTTGATAGTTACCTGGACCTGGAATGGTGTCAGTAAAAGTTTTATTAAGATAGCCTCGATCACCATAGCCAAAGCCAGTGGAAGGGGCATTGCGTTTAATCTTCTCAAATTAAGGTCTGTAGACATTTGGAGGAGGAAGTAATGTCCTATCCCGCTCTTTCAAGTAATAACTTTCTCTCTTGCTTGTACCTATCTTATAATTAGGGCTTTACTTGATGACTTGATTTAACTCTGGAGCGTACTAGCCTGGGCCTGGCTTCAGCAAATCTTCTTTTGCTTTTTAATCAACTTTATATCTGTAACTGAGTGAATTTTTAGGTCCTTCATTTCCAACAATACTTCTAAGTTCATACTGACCTGGTCCTGGTAAAATAGATGAGCTATTTATTTAGCCATCTCTTTTGCTTTTAGTACTTTCATGGGATGTTGTTGCCCTTCTATCAGATGTTCCAAATCCATATTTGGGCGCTGAGTTTCTAGATATCAAAGAAATGTTCGATGGCTCATATGCTCCTGGGCCAGGCACTAATCTGACAGTCTTGTTCGATAAATCAGCTACAGATTTATCAAGTGATGCACCTATCTTTGAAAAATTTGACTTAAAGTTCTGATGATATGCCCCTGGTCCTGGGATACTCTTGACATATTTAACGTGAAGATCAGTAACTGGCTTAAGACCAAAGGAGAAGCTGAAGTCAGCTCTTTTCTGCAATGCAGGGGTATAAGCACCTGGTCCAGGAATTAACCTCACAATGTCTGTTACATTTGATTCAATCCTTGGACTTAGACTAATCTTTGGTCCTTCAATTACCTTTAATAATTGAATAACAATAAATGCTTACTCTTGATGGTATATTGTATGCAGTTGGTCCTGGCACTCCTAATAAGATTTTATTTTCTGTTCCTGGCTCTACTCTTTTTTCTTTTCCAATTCTAGAAAAAGTAAAATGGAAATAAGGAATACGCCCAAGATGGTGTTCTCTTCTTAGTGACAACTTGAGGCACATACTATCCAGGTCCAGGCAACTTAGATACTTCCTTGACAAAGCTTTAATTAACTATAAGGAAAGCATAAAAATTAAGTAGCAAGTTACATCTTTGACTAGAGCCAAAACCAAAAGCTGCAGACATTTCAGCAAATAAAAATAAATTTACTAATTAAGTTCTAATTAAAATTAATTGTGAAATAAATAATAGTTCATTAAGATTTTTTGAAGCCCATTCCAGATAGTAATCCATCTTGTCTTTTCTCTGTTCTCTTTCCAATCTTTTTTCCGTGAGAGACTACATTCTCGAAACTCTTGACTGCCTTCTCTTTGTTTCTCTTATTTAGCATCTTAGGGTTAAGCTAGATATAAGCGAATGGCTCATACTTGCCTGCCTTTAGTACATCACCTTTACCCTTGGATGACTGATAGGTGTTACCACTGTACTTGGTAATATGACCACCGTCATCCTCTTTCTTTTATCTCCTCTACTTAAGCAATGAATTGCCTGCCTTTGAATCCTTGATAGAATTAAAGGTATTAGTGGTAGACCCAGTAGCAGCATTAGTAGTAGTTTTTTGCTTCTTGCTAAGACCTTGTAACTTCTTTCTAAGCTCTCCAGCATCCTCGTCACTGCTGCTCTCATTCATGTCCAAATTTTCAGTACCTAATGCTTCTTATCTAGTTCTCTTTAGTTTCTTTTAAGCTATTTTCTTTTCCTCATCATCTTCTAGGTCATTAATCACGAACTTTCCAGATTCCTTAATGATATAGATATCCTGTTTCTTCTCATCCATGTCGAGATTGTCTCTGCCTAAATGTTGCTTAGAGCTAATGTTCTTAGATAAAGCCTTTTCTCTGAGTTTAATGAAGGGGTTTTCAACAAAGTGAGACTCGAATTCTTCTGCTTCAGCATCGATCATCTGAGTAATTCTCTCCTTATTGCTCTTTATTTAATCTGCCTTTGGCAACTTCTATTGAATCTCCTTCTTTTCCTTGGCGAGCTTACTAACTACTGGAATGTCATCAACTCTAGGGATGTCCATTTCATCAGCCATCAGCTTGTCTCCTCCTTGATCTTCTTCGTCGCTTTCTGAATCACTTTCATCCTCTGATTCCTAATCTGAATTCAAAGAGTATTTTTCTGATTGCTCTCCATCATCCTCTTCGTAACCTTGTTCCTCTCCTGAAAGTTCTGAATCTGATTTCATATCAATATCTCCTATTGCGCCTTCCTTATCTGCTTCTTTATCCTTCTCGGAAGCTCCAATCAAAGCTAATAGCCTTTGTCTCTTTGACTTGTTCTGTCTCTTTCTTCTATCTCTCTCAATATAAAGAATGAGCTTCTAATGTTGCTCTGGGGTGATTGACTTGACATAATTGAGACCAAGCTTCTTAATGAATTTGCTAAGAATCTTTTTGATAAGCATGTTATGCTTGTTGAAGAGTTTCTTATCACTTTAGATTCCAAAGATACCAGTAAACATTTACTCACTTAATTCACCTTTTAGTAAATCTACTCCCAAGAATGAGACAATAGTCTTGATATATTTAAGCACTGACCTGTGAAGCTCATTGCCTGATTAATGATCTTTCATGAACAGTACGATGATTCTAGTGACCTTTCTGAGGAACTCTTGGAATGAAGGGTCTTCAAACCTGATGGCGTTTTCATTTTTATCCTTATGAGTATAATTCAGTTTTAAGAGTAGTAGTAAAGCTCTGATTGTGGCACTTTGTGTTTAGATCTTAGTACCTGCGAAACCAACTAATAGCATTTAGAAGAGTTAAGGTAGTGCCTTCATGTGCATAATCAGCTCAAATATTTGCTTGAAGATATCCTCTGACTGTCTCTTGACTTTCTTGTTTGTGTTGCTAAATGCCTAGATGAGTTCAACTATCATTAACTTAAGTAGGTCACCAATCTATTAAAGGTTAGCCTGATCGTTCTTGAATTTATCCATCTGCTAAACATAAGACTTGATAAGGAAAAGTCTTTGCTTGCTTGGCTGGCCCTATAGTAAGGGGTTAAGCTCGTTTTGAATATCGAATAGTTCACTAATATTTTCGATCTCATACTTCTCAATAATCTTTGCCAATAGTTTATAACCAAACTTCTGAGTCTGTGCATTGTCAATAAAGACCTTGAGACCTTTCATGAGAGTGATGTAGTTCTCTTTCTTAAGTTTGACCTTTTCCATCATTGCTAATAGCACTTCGAGATGATTAAGTAATTTATCGGCTGGAATCTATTACTCATTAAACTTCATTACTAACTCAGCAAAGCCAGTAAGGAACAAATTGGAGAGCTTGACAGTAATAGCAATTGAAGAGAAGTCTTGAAGAGTAGCTAAGATCTGTTGCTTGTCTTGAGGGACTACTATTTGCTCTGCTCCTGAAGCAGTGTATAGCTTTTGAAGGCCAGTAATATAATCAAGACTGATATTCTTGAGACCCTATCTGGTCTTCTTTATTTCCTCTGTAACAACTGTTGTAGCTTTACAGTGCATAATTAAAGTTGAGAAAGTTTTGAGGGCTAGTGGTCTTAGGGAATAAACATTCTTGTTGATCATTGGTTCTAAGTATTAGATAAGAGTAGCAAAAGCAGAACTTAGCTGACTGCTATTATACTTACAGAACTCAGGTAATAATTCCCAGAGTTGAATCATTAAAACCTCTAGTTTCTTGATCTTTAGGTCACTCCCGTTTTGGTGTTTGAGCGCCTTGATCTATCTATCCAACCCTAGAATGATAGGAAGGAAGTATTGAACATAGAATGCAAGGTCTCCATTCTTAAGATGCTGAGGAATGATTTAGATCAGATAGGATCTGCTATCTTAGGCAAAAGTCAAACTATTAAGGTCTACTTCGAGAATTCTAAGTGGAAGAGCTTTGAAGAATTTCTCAGCTCCTACTGCTTCTAAAAAGCTACCAATACAACTTTTCCAACTCTTGTAAGAATCTTTTCTTGGGCTGATTTATGCTACGACATTGAGTAAGTCAGCTGATTCGCTAACAACACTGCCGACTTGAATAATGAAGGTCTTCATCAACTTAAGTCCAACATCTAATGCTTCTTCGAATCTTGTAGATAAAAGGTATCTAACATAGATAATAACTTTATCAGCATGAGAAAATCCCTGGTTGCCTTGTGCTTTATTGCTCTTCTTGAGATTCAACACTTCTTCATTCAGCGATAGTGAATCTAAACTTAAGATCTCGGCAGCAAGTCCATTATTTTGTGGCTTATCCTGGAAGTACTCCTTCTTTAGGCTTTAAGTCAAAATGATTCTCAAGGCTGAGTAGGCAGCATTTCTGATTCTAGAACTTGTATTCACAAAGTACTCACAGAAAATACTGAAGCAGGCACTAACATACTTTAATATGTCTTGTGGTTTGACTCCTTATGTAGTGGATAAGTTTACCATGACTTGAGATGTACATTAGATGTAGGAAATAACTCTCATCTCATCTTATTCTTAGTTGAATTTTTAGATGGTTGAAAGCACTTCTTAGTTGTCTAAGAGTTGCCTCAAGATTTGCTCAATGTGATCTTGATTTTGATTGAATCTTCTTGATGCATAGAAAACCTCAAGAGTTAGATAAGCATTTGTTTTCAGATATGAATCTTCCATTGATGTTAATCTGAGAATCTTGTTGTCAATATCGCAACATAGCTAGATTGGCATTATCTATAGAGCAGCAGCCAAGAAATGCAATAAAATTATCGTTTTATTTGAGACTGCATTGCCCTTTGCTTGGAATTGTTACATGAAAACTGAATCTACGAAACTTTGGAAAGCAATCATGGGTTTGACTAGTCTTTCGATCTTCTTATTTTAGAATAGGATGCTGACTGACTTCTAAGCTTACTTCTAAACTTTAGATCCTCTCTTGTCTACTAAACAACTCAACAGCAATAAGAATGCTTTCTCAGTCTCTTAATCATTGCCATTCCACTCCTGCTCTGTCTTTGAGTGCAATAAGAATTGAAGTGCAATGACACCATACTTGGCTACATTTGTTGATTCAACTGAGTTGGCAAGCATTTTATTGCTGATGATGTCGAAAATGACTTGATGTTGATTCTGCAAAATACTGATGTCTAGCATAGATAATACTGCTGAAAAACAATAGGCGAGGGCGTCATGACTCAATCTATCTTGTGTAATGCCTTATTAGGACTAAAACATCTAAGCTAAACTAGCAAAGTAGGCTGTAGCTGAATAGTCATTCAGAGTTTCCTATATTCATTATCATTTTCTGCTAAATAGTACCTTTAATACTGAAGAAATAGCACTCATAATTTCAAATGCTTTAACATATAGGGGTTTTTGTCTTTTCATAAGCAGTTCGAACTTCCTAAGTACCTTAGGCATTGCTCTATACAAGATTAATGATATATTTCTTACTCTTTTTGGACTCTAAGTTTTCTTTTACGTTCCATTCCGATGATTGATTTTGTACCTTGTATTATTTAATAATAGTATTTATCTCTCAATTACTTACTTTTATTCCTATCTATATCAAGCACATGGGGTTTTGGGGTTTTGGGGTTTTGGGGTTTTGGGGTTTTGGGGTTTTGGG